TACAAGTAAACAAAAAGCACGCATCGCGGAAACAGGTTGTCTCACTTGATGCTCCAGCACCCAGCCGTTCGTTCAAGGAGGATAATTGGTTAGCGGCTCGGCCCATGGATGAAGCGCTCGAAGGGGTTCAAAAAGTCGTCGGTCTGTTCAAATCCGGATTCACGTTGTGGTGGGTGTAGGGGATAACCATGGTCGACACCACCATCCGGTCTGCGTCTTAGTTCTTGTTTATTCGTAACGTTGAAGCACCTGCCTTGCTGCAGTCGGAAGCACATTGGTCCTTGCTACCGCAAACTGTGCAGCGGCCCTCCCTCCTCCACTTCCTCTTCTGCGTTGAAGCACCTGCCATGCTGCAGTCGGGAGCCCAATGGTTCTTGCTACCGCAAACTGTGCAGCGGCCCTTACTCTTCCACTTCGTCCTCCGCGCCGTTCGGTTGCCGTGCGGGTTGAAGTGATGGACACTGACATCCATGGGGTCACCGGCGTCAGTATGGTCTAAAACCTCCGCCAGCGGTCGAAGTTTGCCGTCGGCCTGGGAAAGCTTTACAGGTCCGTGTTGTGGTGGGTGTGGCGGATTACCATGGTCGTCGCCATCCGGTTCGCGTCTCTAACGGCGGCCATAACCATTAGGTGGCCCCTGGGGAGGGAGGAACCCTTGCGGCGCACCGGTCGGCGGTGGCATGAAGCCCGGAGGCATCGGCGCGCCAGGAGGAGGGCCGCCAGGAAAGCCACCAGGAACAGGCACACCCGGATACATGGCCGGCGGTGCGGCAGAAACTGGGGGTCCGCCGGCGGGTCCAGGAGGTCCACCAGGGGGACCGCCCCGGAAAGATGAGCCACCGGGATGGAAGTCGCTGACAGAAGCTCCGAAGCCAGCGTGGCTAGCAGGGGGCCGCGCAGGCAGACCCGCGGGAGGAGGCGGGGGAAGACCGTGTCCAATCGGAAGACCGGCCGCAGGCATGCCAAGCATCCGACCGCCGCCCTGTGGCATGGCACCAAAAGGAGGAGGGGGAGCACCGCGATTCATTGCTGGAGGACCCTGAGGAATACCTGGAGGAACGACGGGATAGTTTGGGGTAGGCACGCCGGGCATGCCCAGAGGGAGAACCGGAGGGACAGCGCCAGGAGGGACGATTGCTGATGTCGGCTCGATGACTGGAACGACGGCAGGGGTGCTCGGGGTTGCGGTAGGTCCTGACATGTGGAAAGCAGGTGGCAGTTGTTGTTGCTCGGGAATAATGTTGTGCTTCTTTCCCTCGGCCGCCAGCTTGCGCTCGGCTTCGTCACCGTGTCGCTCTCCCTTGCCGTCCTTCTTGTAGGCGTACTCGACCGTGATGGACTTGCTGAGAAGGTACTGCCCATTCATGGTGGCACGCGCGGCATCGCTGGCTTCGAAAGAGTCAAAGCTAACGAAACCGTATCCTTTGGACATGTTGTTTTCGTCGCGAATGATGTTGGGCTGCCGGAGGATCCCGCCGAACTGGCTGAAGGTGTCGTAGAGGATCTTCTCGTCGACCTGGGGGTCGAGGTTGTTGATGAATAGCTCCGCGCCGATGTCGACCGACTTTTGCTTGTCGGCGCTCGCTTTATTAACGCGGATCGGTTTGCCCCACACACGGATGCCATTAAGAACCTTGGCTGCGTACTCGGCCGACGCAGGCGTATCAAACTCGACGAAGCCGTAACCTTGGTGTGTTTGAGAGACTCGATCCTGTGGCATGTGCACCTGGCGGACGGGGCCAACTTGGGTCATGAGCTCACTCAAGAGCTCCTGACTGAAGCGTTCATCGATGTTGCCGACATAGACGGTCGCGTCCTTGTTCTGCTCCCTACGGCGGCTTGTTAGCTGGCGATGTGTGCAGCTTCTGCGAAAAGAGAATGGCGACTTACCAGTGCTTCGACATGTTGGATCACCAGCAGCTTTGCTGCACCCAACTCGCTGTACCGGACGAAAGCTCCAAAAGAATGGTCTATATCCTATTTGTTGTGTTGTGCCTTTTGTTTACTAGCGGTGTTATGCTGTAAGATGTTGGTAAAGTTGAAAATGTTGTACCTGAGCTTCTTTCGTATCGGTGTGATGCAAACAAACTTTTGGGACAGGTACGGAATACCAGCCGGTGCAAATAGGGCCTAAAACAGAGCGAGGTTCGGGCGAGGGACTGATAAATTTACAGCCACACTTCCATATTGTGGCTGGAAGTGAAAAGTGGCTGGTGGACAAAGCTCGCGAAAAACGTCCCCTGTCAGTGGCCGATTGAACTTCAAGCCTTGAATGATGCTCCATCTCCATCGCCATCCGCTGCAACGAGCCAAACAATCTCAACACACTTACGACGCCCGCTGGTAGAGACCCTACAACAAGTAGCGACTTCTTCAAGCGATTTACTTACAAGGCTCACAGCTTTTACTTTGTCGCGAAAGCATAAATCAAGATGATCGCCCTCTCCGAAGAGTCCAAGGTGCGCAATCAGCCTCTGGTTGCATGTCAGGAGGTTGGCAACTAACAGGTTGTCCAGGAGCGCATCGGCCGTCTCATCGAGGTCTCGCGAGTTGCAATCCATTAGTTCGTACAAAGATTCCAATACCTACCATCTGCCGGGGCAGATTGCTAACCAACGCGCAATTGTAGTGGCTATATTCCTTTGATTCTCTACCTTGGTATGCGACAGTCACAACGAAGCTTCACCGGAAACCAGAAGACGCAGTATACTGATCCGTCAATAACAGGATACACACGGAGCGAGCCCCGGCCCCATCTTATCCAGTACGTCCGATTACAGCCGCCTGCTGCCAGTTCCTAGCTAACGATCACAGCCTCCTCTCGCCCCTTTCTTAGGTGCTCAAAACTGCAAGGGATCATGGGGAAGGATACAATAATACTAGCGTGTTAAAGATGTACGATTTATAAGGAGAATTGCACTCTGGATGGAAAACCAAGAGTGGTGCGCTAGCTCCCAAAACACATGGGTTCAGTAGGTGTTCGGCGCCAGTGGGATGATGGGCAAAAGCCTGCGAAATACCACCATGACATGACTGTACTATAATAATGGAAGACTCTCTACAAACATCATGACGACAATGGTTATGGCCTCGCTGGTGATATAGTTGCTTTGAATGGCCATTTTATAATACCCAAAAAAACCGCAGTCGCGACTCGGGTTCCCTCGGCCTTACTCGGCCGAAACTCCCCTATATTTTTTTTTATCTTGTCTCAACTTGAACTTCAAACCCTTGCGTCATCTCAAAGCCGCTCTTCAGATAAACTCTCACACGCGCCAACACACCGGCAACCGCTATGCATTCCACATAGCGCATGTACGATATGATGTAGCGAACCACAAGTAGACGTCTCCATGATGGAATCTAGCGATGCGGGCGGCGGACACGGACGCCTTTCCCGGTCCGTGGTTGAGATGGTCGCCGGTCTCTCGGCCGGGTCCATGGCCACTCTGATTGTGCACCCGCTCGATATTGTCAAGACCCGGATGCAAAGTGAGCACACTCATAAAATACGAATAACCTCATCGACTTTTTTCCCCTTACTAACCACACGGTTTAAGTCCACCGTACCGGTACAACGCCTTCCTCAGCAACGGCGCAGGCGCGCCTGACAACCGTCTCGGTCATCAAATCTTTGTGGCAGACCGAACGGCCCATCGCCGCGCTCTACCGCGGCCTGACCCCAAATCTTATGGGAAACGCCACCAGCTGGGCATCCTTCTTCTTCTTCAAGTCCCGCGCCGAGCGCGCCATCGCGCTCCTTAAGCAGCCTCCCCTCAAGCCGTCATCCCCGGAACCGAGGGGTACGGCGGCCGCCACGGCCTCCCTCGAGCCGGCCGACTTTTTCGCCGCTTCGCTCGCCGCCGGCGTCGCGACGCAGGTTATCACCAACCCGATATGGGTCATCAAGACGCGCATGCTCTCCTCCGACCGCTCCGCCGCTGGCGCGTACCCGAGCATGTGGTCCGGCGCGGTGCGCCTGTTCCGCGAGGAAGGGGTACTGGGCTTCTACCGCGGTCTCGGGGTGGGCATGTTGGCTGTCAGTCACGGCGCCGTGCAGTTTGCCGTGTATGATCCTGCTAGGCGGATGTACCTGAAGCGTCGGGACCGGAAGAGGCATCAGACTCTGAAGAGTGGAGATAATGAATCCGTGTCGAACGAGGCGACGATCGTCCTGTCCACGGTATCCAAGCTGGTGGCTGGCGTTATCACCTATCCGCTGCAGGTGCTGCGCAGCCGGTTGCAGAACTATGACGCTGAGGAGCGGTTTGGTAAGGGTGCTAGGGGCGTGGTCAGGCAGCTGTGGCGGGAGGAAGGCGCCCGGGGGTTCTATAGAGGCATGGTGCCGGGTGTGATAAGGGTCCTGCCGGCGACGTGGGTAACGTTCTTGGTGTATGAGAATGTGAAGTATTATTTGTATTTACCGCGGTGATGGCTACCTTACTCGACGGCCGAGGAATGGGGGCCGTCAGTATACTACCTCACCAATATATCAGTGACAAAGCATCTCTCTAATGCTGCGTAGTTGCTCTGTGACCCTCTCGGTGTCTCTCAAGAGATGACCCCAATCAGTTTCGACCATCTTTCCCATGGCGAACATCGTCAACTCCGAGCAGGGCACATCCCACCCAACAAACTGATGAACAATCTATCCACCCTTGTCCAACCGATAACACAGTGGAGCTCACACGATTCATCAAGCCAACATCAACACCATCCAGGCATCTAATCAAGCAAGCGGGTTTAGCTCAGTTGGGAGAGCGTCAGACTGAAGTCCACTTCTGTTCAAATAATCTGAAGGTCATGTGTTCGATCCACATAAACCGCATCATTACCATATCTCCTTCACATTCGAAGTGAGTTTGATTTTTGGCCCTTCTCTCCGCGTAAACAGAAACTGCCTTGGAGGTAGTTTTCTTACCTTTTGACAACTCCACCTCCCTGTATCCAAATCCATAATATGGAAAAGATCCAATATCCGTACCAACAAACAGACGGCGGCGGGTTTAGCTCAGTTGGGAGAGCGTCAGACTGAAGTCAACACTTCGGTAACAACAATCTGAAGGTCATGTGTTCGATCCACATAAACCGCACATAATACAACAGTTATCTCATTCTTTCTGAACCTTCTTGAGGAAGTTGAATTCTCTTTTTGGTTTCTCTCAGTGGCTTTCTCTTTTCACCATACCGTCAGTATGCAGTATGCGATGTACCTCACGTAGCCTGAGTTCTGTCCTATATTCCTACGTTCTTTTCCATACACAGGGCTTCTGACTGTCATCCAGGGTGTGTGTGCTCTTTCGTTTATTAAGCTACTTCATAACTCCCGTGTAAGTCGACACCCTTAAGGTTACACGTTCATCAAGACGGGACAGGACGCACAGCAAACACCTTATCTACCAGCCTAGGTGTCCGTCCATCATTTATATACCCACCTATCTTTCTTCCCTCCACTTATTCTTGTACTAATTCTGTCGTCCTCTTCTTCTTCATATCCGCACGCACGATATTAGATACAGAGCCACCTCCCACACAGCCACGGCGACGAAAAAGACGAGACCCAGTCCGAACTCCAGCCCCACCTTTTAATGGCATTAAAAGTAAACTCCAAGAAAGAAGAAAATGCAGAGAACTCCAACCGGAAACCAAAACCGGAGATAATGATAAGACAATGATGATAGGAAGCCACATTGCAAATTCTTGCATGCAACAAACAGATCTCCCGGCGCAGTGAAGAAAAGAAAAGGTCGTCAGCGTCATGAGCGTTCAACCTCGCCCACCTAGCGAGGAAAGACGCAAGGCATAACAACGACCACATTTCTCGCCCGCTCAAAAACTCAGTAACAAAACCTTATCGCACAACACCAACGCTCAAAACTCAAGAAATAGGTGGATGAGTCTCAAACACCACCCACAGCGCCCCAGCGCGCGCGAAGTCCGTCCGTCCACCTCGCATACAACAAATCCGAAAGTGCCTTGCAATGTTCCATGCCAGGCACCGCATTGCGCCCCGGATACTTGGCCTCCAGGGCCATCTTCTCACGGTCACGCTGCTCACGGTCTCGCTCCTTCTCAGGAGACCTTGTGACCGCGTTGCCCGCATCACCAGGCACGGTGCTCCACTTCCGGCGATGGCTCATCAAGTGCGGGTTCTCCTGGCTCATAACCAGTTTCGTCGGGCTTATGGGCGTCGGCGTGGCGGGGACACGGCTTTTGATCACCACGGTTCCTCGTGGAGTGCCATCGAGGGGCGTTTTCGGCGGTGGGAGTTGGATATTATGTTGCAGCAGCGCCGCACTTAGCCTGCTGTCCTGCGACACGGCTGACATGAGATTTCGGAAGACATGGTAGGTGCCTTCTGGATCAACAGCGTTAAGATGCGCGAATGCATCTGAGAGGTTTGCGAGTGCCTCCCTCTTGGTCGAGGTAGCCGTCTGCGCGTGCAGTTCCTCCAGAGAAGGTTCCAGAGCCTTGTTGTACAGCCGACGACCCAATAGTCCCTCCTTGCTGGTTGGCTCAGCTGGGGCATGGTGAGAAGCCGGTGGTTGATTTTCATTTGACCTGGGTTCCTGAGATGGTATCGACCACTCGGAATTGCAGCCGTCAGAAGGCACTCGCCGGAACAGACGCATAGTCGATCCCGAGTTTCCGAATGACATATCGGGCTGCAGAGGTCGCTTGGGCGCAATAGAAGCTCTAGGGGAGCCGTTTGAGACTCGGCGTACTGAGCTCTGGTGCGCAGCAGAAGGTTGCCTTCGAACCGTCGATTTTCTAACGGTTCCGGGTGTAGAGGGTTGGAGAGGGCCGTCCTTGACATCCAGCTTTCGCATAGCGTCCTCGACAGCAAAAGCGGGGGACGGCTTCCGTGACCTGACAGTACCTTTCTTAGGAAGCACAACAGACCTCACCGTATCGAAGACCCATTCGTCAGACTCGTCCTTGGGGGAAATCGTGTGGAGGGTCTCCTGGTAGAAAACGGGAAGCTTCACGCGGTCCTGCTTGGCATCCCACATCTGCTTTCGAGCGATCAACTCCTGCAGCGCCTCAATCTTGCCGGCCGATCGGATAAACCGATGCTTGAGTAGTTCTTTGGCAGTTGGTCGGTTCTCGGGGTCCTTCACTAGACACTGGGCGACAAAATCTTTAAACTCTTTGCTGAACTTTCCCTCGAGCGTTGGGGGTGGGTTCTTTGGGATATGGAATAGGACCTTCATGGGGTGCGTGTTTGCATGCGGTGGCTCACCCAGCGCAAGCTCGATGGCTGTGATTCCTAGCGACCAGATATCGGCCTTGAAGTCATAGCCAGCCTGCTGGATAACCTCTGGAGCCATCCAGAAAGGGGTTCCGACAAATGTGTTCCGTTGCGATTTCATGTGGGTAAGCTGCGCAGCAACTCCGAAGTCGGCGAGCTTTACTTTGCCAGTTTCAGACAATAGAACGTTGGCTGCCTTGATGTCGCGGTGGATTTTGCCTTCGGCGTGTAGGTATTCGAGGCCCAGCAGGAGTTCGCGGCAGATGACTGCAATGTGTAGCTCGCTGAAGTTCCCTGGTTTGAGCTGCGGGGGGTTAGCAGAAGCATGCAATGAGGATGCTGTGCTTTCAACTTACCAGGTCAAGACAGGATCCTCCCCCGAGGTACTCCATGACAATCCATAGCTTGTGACCGCGTAGAAAGCTTCCCTTGTACTGAGTAACGAAGACACTGTCGCATGTGCTGAGGACTGAAATCTCCTGTTGAATTTCTTGGATATCATCTTCGCTTGATTCGAGATCAATCTACAGGCGCACAAACGTTAATTTAGCTACCGGCGTCCGAAGTGTCGCAGGATCGATATTTCTCACATGTTTGATGGCAACTGTCTCGCCTGTTGCCTTCTCAATGGCCTTGTAAACTACACCAAAACTACCGCCTGCGTTGTCCGTCAAGGTCAGCCAATGTGTCTCGATGACTGCAAGGAGAAGCGCAACATACGTCCAAGTTCCTCCAGCACCTGGTAGTGGCTGGCGACACCTTCGTCAGCCATTTTGTGTGTCTGTGATGGAAAACGCCAACGATAATTGATGTGGAGGGTTCCGGACTGCGGGCGTGCGATCTGTGGGTACGCCGGAGATTTGGGTGGACGCTGGCGAGTGGAGGAGACGAAGTAGCAGAGTCGGGATCGTGGGCAAGCGCAATCGTAGGCCAAGCTATTATGTATCGGACGGGCAATGTGGAGAAGGCGCCTTGGACCAAGGGAAATGACGAGGGAAAACGGAGTCGATGATGAGGCCCTGGATGAAGAGAGCTGGAAGCCGTCGCGGGTGAAGCCTGAGACAAGGTCAAGCTGTGTAATGTCAAGTGTATTAAACTTCCCAGGCTGGCTCTAAGTTGGGGTGATGGTTGTCGGGGTGCTGGACTGGCGGGCACGGGCCATTGTTTACTTTGAGCTGAAAGTGGGCTGGCTCAGGTGGTTTGGGTCTTTGGGATCCAACCGGGCGTTGGAGCCGGGGCACCTGACTGCAAGTTGCGCAAAGATGCTCCGGACATGCGAAAATGAAGCTGTGGTTTTTCTTATTGTGGGAAATCGCAGTCGATGTCATGGCGGTTTAGACAGCCGAGTCTCTGTCTGACATTTCCTTCGGGTTTGTCTGTCCCAGCGATGCGCTGCAGGTTGAGTCGGTCTTAAATCCAGCGACCGCCCTGCATTGGAGTGCTCCGCTGTTGCGCTGTCGCATGCCTTTACACGGCTGCACCGCAGCAGCTTCGACCAATGGCAGTACACCGTTGCGGTCCCAGCGGTACCTGTTCGCATGCGCTTGCCAAGACTTGCAGTAACGAGACTGGACGAACACTGGGCGGTCCCTCCTCGAGCTGGCAAGTGGGGTCGACTCGCCGTTGCCGTCGCAACCAGTTTAGGTCCCGAGGGCGGATCCACACAGCAAAGCAACGGGGCAGGCCCAAAGCTTCAACACCACAGTCAACCCACTTGTCATTTCACTGCCTTGGCCTTGGTTCTTGTCAGGCTCGCTAGTCTTTACTCAACTTGCCAGGTGCAACCCCAACCGCAAACCCACCTGGGTTCATGATCGTTACGGAGTATCACCAATACCTTTCGCTTAATACTGCTTCATTGCTGTTTTCCCTCGTCCCTCCGCATTTTGTGGGGGAACTAATCCCGTCGCACTCACTTTCCATCGTGCAATTTCCGTCCGTCGACCATCGTCTACTTCAAACTTTAACTACCCTGTCACCGTCAGCCCTGCGTATGGAGCTCCTTCTTGTCAATTACAGATCCAGACGCAGAGAGCTTGTCGGCCTGGCGCCAGTGTCAACATAGCTCCCGACACTAAATCGAAGCGACAGCCGACGTCAACTTTACGTCAACTGACTCGCTCACTTGCGCGCCCGGACGACCGCACCTACTCTCGCCAGCCAAAATGGTTCTGACACCACCGCCATTGCCGACCCGGTTCCCATGCTGGGTGAGGGCGGTGTATTCTTGGGGAGGAGAGGTGCGCATCTTCGACTCCATGTTTGAAGTCCGCAAAAAAACTAACCCTGTTTGACTTGCAGTCAAAGCGAGACCTCGGCTTCATTGAGGGCGACCTCATCGAATGTCTAAACGCGGGCGATGGATCCTGGTGGACGGGGAGGTTATGGCGCGACAGGAGGGCAATTGGCGTGTTCCCATCTAACTTTGTCGAGGTACTGCCCGACAATTTCAGGCCAACGAGCAGATCGACCAGCCCGATGATGCCTGGAAGCAACACACCGAGCCCCAAGAACACTCCTCAAAAGTCAAAGACTTTCCGCAGACCATTCGAGGCTTATGCTAAGGCGCCGCATTATACCACTGCTAAGATCCCAGAGACGTACAAGGACGGAGTGCCTCGGTCTCCCGTGCGGTCACGGGAGACTTCGAACAATTCCGTACAGGATGTTGGTGTTGGAGCTGGGCGGGATCCATCGTCACCTCAGCCTCCTAGGCATAATCCTAGGGCGCCATCCCCGATGCCCTTTCGAGCACCATCGCCCGCAATACAGCGAGCGGCATCTCCAGCACCGTACAACATGGTATCGTCTCCGGCACCTTTTCATAGAGCACCTTCTCCG